TGTATTTTATTTGCCTAAAATTTTATTATATCACAAAACATTTTTACTTTGAGTTTTAAAAGAAATCTAAGCGATTTGCAAATATACAAACGGGAATTCAAATGACATAAGCTTAAAAACAATCGATATTATTCGTAACCCTAGGTAATATAAATGTAATTATTGAAGTCTTACATATACAGCGAGTGGTTAAAGGCAAGCCAATAAATTATTGTTACAGTTAACGAATAAAAGCTATCGTTTCTTTTTATAGGATACCTACACAGTATACAGTCCACCAGTAAGTGGTTGCTGAGGCCCACAGACATATACATGCATCTATCCTCGATTACGAATTGAAATGCAGATGCGTTGTCACCAGTGAGGTCTAAGATGGAATGCCTCGTTTTCAGTAAAAATGGTCTCCGGTACTCTACACTTACCATACGAAATACAGCAGCGTTGAGCAGCTATTTTACGCTGGTCTTCTGTGAGAGCGTGGTCCTTCCCCGATTGAGCCGATCCATTTGTGCTACAATACAATATACTAATAATAAACATAGATAATATATCTGCAGGCTCTACCAAAATGTTATCGTTGTAGTACAGGATCCATATTTCTTGGTTGGAGACAGGATTGTTATTACGTAAGCGTGTTCTTTTTCAATTTCTTTGAAAGTAGCAGGTTTGTAAACGGACATTATAGTCGCATTCATTTCAATCATATGACAACAACTTCGAAGTAAAGGTATTTGAACATATAAACGGCGTTATGTATCCATAGCCGCAATCAGGTCGAGTTAATCTTTGTGGCTAGTATTGAATATCATTTAACGTAAAACCGCAACTATATTGTAAAGATATTTTTGATTTAGTAGATTAACTTACACGATCTCCTAATTTCAGCATAGTTTGGCGACATTTTTTTAAACAAAAATTATAATATGTGGTACTTACACAAGTTATTGCTTTCGGTGTTTGATAATTCCCTACCTCATAAGAAAATATATCAATAATAGAAACTCCATTTGCAAAGGAAAACGTGATGACTACTCGAACTATCGCCCAATTACATTACTTTCATCAATCGATAAAATTGTTTAAACATTCATAAACGATCAAATACACAAATTTTATAGGAATAACACTGTAATAAGCCCGTATCAGTTTGGTTTTCAATCAGGAAAAAGTACAACAGGACTCTTATCAAAATTTACTGATGAAGTGAATAGTCATCTAAATGAAAAAAGACAGGTGCTTGCCCTATTTATCGACTTCTCACGTGCTTTTGACACTTTGTTACATGAACAGCTAGTGGACAGATTAGACAAATGTGGTATACGTGGCCCCTTACTTAATTGGTGCCATAATTTCTTGAAGAACCGAAAATCCTTTGTGAAAATTGAAAATAACTACAACGAGCCGATGTTGATAACAGAGGGAACAGCACAAGGTTCGGTACTAGGACCCTTGCACTTTTTGTCCTACACTTCTTGTCCTTGCACTTTTTGTCCTACGTTAATGACATGGACAACTACATCGTCAATTGCACATGCTACCAGTTTGCATATGACACTTGTCTTGTAATCGGTGATAAAAATCCACAAAAGGCATGTGACCTTTTGCAGTCTGACCTAGATATCCTATCAAGGTGGTGCCATGATGCTGGGCTTGTCCTTAATGATAGTAAAACTAAGTTGTGAGTAAGTAAATCTCCATACCTAAAACCCGCTTCAATAAAAAAAATAGTTGCACACAACCACATCTGCCTACATAATAACCGCGCTGCTGAATGCTGCTGCCTAGGAATTGAGATAGTTGACACACAAACGTATCTTGGACTAGTTATTGACAGTAAATTAAATTGGAGCCAGCATATTGACCGTGTATGTACTAAACTAAGACAGTTTTTAGCAAATATCACTATTCTCAATAATCGCATTCCTTTTAAAATAAAGTTAATGTTATATAATGCACTTGCGGAGTCGCACATTCAATACGGGCTAAGTAGCTACGGCCGAACTTACAAAACATATCTTGACCAGATCCATAGTTTACAAGTAAGAATACTCAATACTGTAGTTCCAAATAAAATAAAAAATAAATTCAGGGATGACGTTAATGGTCTCTTTAAACATTGTAAAATTTTACAAATACATATACAAGTACAAAATATTTTATTAAAAGAACAATTTTTTAATGAATCGCTAAAAATCCCTATTGAGCATTCTGTAAACACTCGAGCAATTTCTAAAAACGGTCTCAACGAACCGCGTGCTAGCAATGCATACGGTAAGAGAACATGTAGCTACTTAATACCTCGGCTTATCAATAACTTACCATCAGAATTAGTGGACAATATCACTAAAAATAACATTAGGTGTAAACTAAAGGGTCACTTTCTTAAATTATTATAACGTATTTTGTCATTTTTTTTTTGATTGTTTGCATATTTATTTCATGTTTTTTTGTTTGTTTTTCCTTTTTTATAGTATCTGCAATACAACATAACGCTATATTATTTTTTAAAATTGTAATCTCTCGATAGCTTAAGTATAAACCTTAGTGGTTTTTTAAATGCTATCACTACAAATATGTGTAATGCTTGTTCATATGATAAATAAATGAAAAAAAAAGTTAAAATCTTCAGTTTTTTGGAAAAAAACATTATCAATTATCGGGATTCGATTTGTTCATTAACAAGTTATATATAATTTTTTTTTTAAATTAAACTCAAGTGATAAGCGAACTTACAGTACACCTGATGGTAAGTGCCGATTAAACTATAGACATCCGGTACTTGCGTGCGGGGGTGGGGTGGAGAATTTGGGTGCAGGAGAAGCCTGCACTACCCCTCCCTTGCGGAAATTTATAGCTTATGGGTAATGAAAATCATTATCTCGTTTTTACACAGGAATATTGACCCAAATTTTTTTTCTGTACAGTTTCGGCGTTGCGGGAAGTGCAGCCCCTTCGTCCTTTCGTAGCAAATCACAGGCACCCATGCTCACCTCTACAGCTTTGGCTTATTGGTTGCCTTTGGCGACCAGCCTCGACAGCTACGGCTCACTTAGGTGCCTGCAATTTGCTACAGCGGGAGGTGGCTGCTGTCCCTCCGCGCCTATAGCTTTATAAAAACACTCTAGGGGTAGGGCAGACAGGACTACGAGGTCGGGGCGTGTCTCTTCTTCAGTCTCTCTGTTCTAAAATAATCAGTATTTTAGAACAGATTCGACCAATCGTATCTATAATGTCAGGTTGCCCTAAACTCTGCTATGATAGTGGTAAATAAAACAATGTAATGTGAATTGTTATTAATTTTGTTTTCTGAAAAACCTCTTGATCCCCGTCACTCTTGAATCCCGTCTTCAGCCACAAATGGATTGTCTGGGTTCGAGTGATTAACTTTTTTATGAGTGTATCCGTGTTAAAAAGAAAAACAAATAAGACGTTTTTCCGTTTCGTTATATGCAATTTTTATCGAAATTTATTTATATCATAATTAATTCAAAAGGCATTACGGAAATAAAAAAAACCGTGAAAAAGATTTAAGCTTAACCCTGACAAAACTAAATTAAAAACAAAATTTTATATATTTGCGTTTCGCTATAAGCACAGAAATCGTAATATTGTCTTATTATTACGATTTCTGTGGTTATAAGCAATTTATAAGTAAAATTTATTTTTATAATTATTAATTCGAAACACATTTCCGACATCTAAAAACAGTGTAGTAGCTAACAAGCATCCTAAACTAAAAAAAAATATTAAAATCAAGTACCGGACGTCTATAGCCAGCCTTGTCCATGCATTTCAAACTAAGAATGCTATAAAAATGAGTTGTAAGTATACCTCTGAGGAATAAGATAGAATGCTTTAAAATCACAGCCGATAATTAATATTTATACCGGCTTTCTAACCCCTTAGACCGGAATATATAAGAAAGAGGGTGGTATCTACCACTGAAGAACTCTAAAATTTGAAGTTCGTCTGGTCTTCATATTTAATATGTATACTAGACTTACATGTACAAGTATGTCCCAATAAAGGTCTGCTTACATAACAATTTTATTACGCTTATTAACCCATGGTCACGGGGAAATTATGGTTCGACGTTCCAATGTCATGGTTAACCACTGCTACCTTCATTGATTTTTGGCCCGAACTACGCAGAAAGAGCTTAACTATATTATGCTTGGATTGGGGTTTAATTTTATCAATGATAGGATCCCAAGCAGGTGGTAGCACGCATAACATGTTTTTTGATTTTAATTGCCACGTGAATCATTATTTGAGGGAAACGTTGTTCATTTAAGCGAGTATTTGTGAAATCTGATTAGTAATAAAGTTGTTATCTATAATCTTTTGATATTGTGAGGTCGAACACCTCAGTCCCCCACGCGAAAGTGGATGCTGTAAAGGTATTCGAAACGTCGGAAATATAAAACAAGGAAAAAGGAAGCAAACGCGATAAAATCAGCTAAAACTACCTTCATTCAATATTAGTAAATCAGTATCTAGTAGTTTAAAAGTACTCATAGTAAATCAGAAATATTATAGTGCAAAATGTAGTAGTTTATGTATACCTACCCGTCAATTTGTAACAATTAATAACTAAAAAGTAAAAGTTACATTCCCCGTAATAAAAAAATAATTTCATTTTTTTGCTTATTTAAAAACCCATCTACCTACCTAATGATGATCTTTAAATTTTAGTTGAGTAATTAGTTGTATAAAGTACGGTAAAATCAACTAAACTAAATCTTAAGCATAGGTTTTATTAAAACTGTAATATTGATATCTTAACACACTTGAAAATTATTCAAAAGAAAAAAGTAGGTTTATTTAAAAAAAGAAGTACGTCAGTTACCTAAATATCTTATTTACTAAAGCGATTTCTCAAACTACCCTTTTTATTTTTATATAAAATACTTATCCTGCTCTAAATTTCTCGGCGATTATAGTTTTTTCACATATTTCAATATCTTAATCTTATATTATTTTTCAAATAGAAGACTTACTTGTCATTGTGGCGCCGGGTGTAGTCTTGTGTTGTTCTTATTTCAGCCGTGAATTATTCCAGTCACCTCTAACTTATCACAAACTACACGCGCTACTTGCACTCGAGCAAATGCAAGTATAAAACGAGAACGACAACAGACAATATACTGTCTATGCTCTCTATGGTATCAAATCCATAAGCAAAGAGAATTAATAATCACTAATTTCAGTGCTGCCAGATACAAATTTTCAATATAGGTATTATACAGATTTTAAAATAGTGTTTTAAATGAATCCTAGTTATAGTGATCCACTATTTTTATATAATATTTTAACACTAAATAGTGCCATAAAAATTACTTTTGATTTATCGTTTTAAATTTTCGTGCGACGCCGTGCCCTTAAGCTTGAGACGTTACTGTTCTAGGATTTTGTCGATTTTACAAAGGAATAAGATGTAAGAATTTGGATGTTTAATAGGGAGTTATCATCTTATCACTAGTGTGTTGTACCTGAATGCAGAAATACGAGCATATGAACGCCGGGGAAGTTATGGATTCAAGTGCCAACTTATTTAGATATGAAAAGTACTTGGTTAAAACTGGCAAGAAGATACCGGAATACATTGTCTACAAAAACTAGACTATACTTCTGTAAAGATCATTTTAATGTAAGTATGACTTATATTTAACGATCGTTTATACAAAACAAAACATTATGATTAGGCTATCTTCGATATTATAACTAATGATTGCTAATGTGACCTGGTATTGTGTTATTGTATAAACAAAAGTTGATAATAGGTACTTACTATGATGTTTTAACATTCCTCAACTTGGCAGAACAAAACTCAGGATTTCACGCAAAAAACTTTGCCACTATCAATGTATTAATACTTGGTAGTTTAGTATCTACTTTCTGCTTTTACGAATCCGTCTTCCATGTATGGTTTAAAATAAAAGAATATAGGTTTCTAGAGCATGTAAATAGACAAAATAATGCATTAGTGGCTCGTTCCTTATTTGTTGTTTTTTTTTTCACATTATTTAATTCTATTTAAAATTTTTCTATATTAAGAATATCCGTACATTGGTTTTTTCATTTATAATGTAGAATATAGATTTATAAATAGAATAATATAGAACATAACTAATATTTGAGATAAAAATATTAACTTTTACATTTTCCTAACAAATTGACTTCCCTCGCCATATAATCTGTCAAATATTTCAACTTTAATTCCTTTAATTCCTATTCCTATGTGACACTGCTCTGATCGCTCGAGAAAAATCGAAGATGCCCTGATTGACAAAATATGCCCAACGTACACATCCTTAGATATGGTAACATAACATTAGACATTTGAATGAGTGAAAATGCCGTTTCACTGAATTCACAGATAACGCAGTTTCTAGTCAAATAGATTTTAAATTGGATATATCATTCTATAAAAGCATTAAACATTACTATTAAAAACATGTAAGAAAATTACAGTAGATTCTGTTATCTCAATATAAATGTTAAAAAAAACTACCGTACGGCCTACGTAGATTTTTAGTATTTTTACCAATTACCGAGAACACGGCAATTGCTGTAGCAATGGCCACACTGTTGAGCGTGCACGACCCGGCAACTGATATCCCCACGCGACGCGGCAGCAGGAGGCAACTTCACACAATAAAATTTAACTTTCACAATTTAAAATACACCTGATAATTTATTTTTATTTTTCACTAAAATAATCACTTTAGCATAATAAGATATTATATTTTCCACGTTACATATTTTATCACAATTTTGCAATTTTTATCATTGGATACGATTATGGCAACTCAAGACGAACAGCTGTTTACGAAGATCGATAGATGTCGGTGGAAGTCGCTTTATTTTCGATGTCGTGTTAACTGTACCCGTAGTAAAATAAAATCACATCGCTGCATGTTGCTATTCATACCTGCGGCGATGTGTGGTGGTCTTTAATACAAAAAAGCAAATAGAATAGGGTCGATGAACGAATTCGGATAAAAATGGTTAGCTATTATCCAATACGATGTTTTGGCAAGAATATAGCATCGCACAAAATTCGATAAAAGGGAAAATAGCAACGTTAAAATGTCGTAAACTGGAAGATATTGAATTGTGTTTGTTTTTGGTGTTTCGGTGGAAACGATGGCAAGTTCGCCAACGAGTTTAGAGACGCAAATAGACAGTTTTCTGGAACAATTTAAGAGGAGCGCTTCGAAAGCAATGGAAGAGAGAATGGAGTGGCCCGATGGAACTTCACCAGGCACCGTCGTTAAATCGCAGAGCAGCTGCTTCGCTCTGGATACAGCAGCTGTCGGTGAGTAAAAATTATTGATAAATTAAAAAAAAAATGATAAAAGTTATAATGCGATGTTGATAAAATAAAGTGCCTATTATTTCTAGTTTATATTTTTATAATCTAGTAATCATTTAAATAATATATTTTTCAAACGTAGGTGTTTACTGTACGCATAAATACAATAATGCAATACTTAATGTTATACACAAATGTACAAAAGGTTTAATATATCTACTCATACTAGCATCGACTAAATTAATTCCTGGTACGATTAATACACTAATTATCTCTTATCATTAAAATGATAAAATAATAAACCTAGTTAACCGTTAATACTGACTGTTCCTATATTAATTGCATTTCATAATTTTAACCAATATGAATTTTATTGTATCTAAGTGATGTCGAAATATGATAGCATTATCATGACCTTTTCAAAAATTCCAGCAGAAATCTACAATGAATTAGAAATGAGACAGATATAGGATTCCACTAGGATTAATCCATTCGTTTGCATTTTTTTCATGAAAACATTACCGTTTTCCGTGAATTATTCCAGGTATACATATTATAAGGTAGATCTTCATTACTTCTACCAATATGGCTACATGGGCCAGGAATTTCTTCACTAGTAGTTAGTAGTTACATACTTCAGAATTACAACTTTTTCTTTCGTCCCTTTTGTTTAAATATAATATGTTAAAAAAATAAATTATGATCGATACGCTTATCGTATATTAATTTATTTTTAATCAAAAAGTTTTTTATATTGGTAATTACTGGTACATCTTACACAAACCCAAAAAAATGTTTACGCTATGATTTATTTAAGAATGACAAGATATTTTTTTCTTTGGTGTATTTTGTTTTAATCAACCAGACTGGGTTTTTGCCTACGTAATTATCACAAGCAAAATAAAGTAAATTTGATAATAACAATTGCCAAGCTGTGGTGTTGTAAAAATGTAAAAGACGTAAAGATGATGTAGTTCTTTGTGAATTATAATGACGACTGTCATCTTCTTGTCGGATTGCTTTTATATTTTTTTTTTTGTAAAATATAGTAGAATTCCTAGTACAAATTGATAAAAAATATGCAACCGTTGTTCGTTCGTTTGTTCCACGTCAGTGCGGACCCTCGATGATGGCAGTTCCCGATTTATTTGCTAATGCTACGACATTTTTTCAACAACAATTTTAAATGATTAATAAAGTTGAAAGTAATAAATTTATAGTCGTAATATATAATAATAATAAATGTTTTAGTTTTATGTCAAGACATTTTTTTAAATCAAACTTCTAAGGTTTCTAATGCTAATTGCGTGCGAACATGCAGATGCAGGCAGTTTTATTAAAACGCCTGTATTTGCGTACGGCATGATTGCACCTGCTCATTCTAATAGAAGAATTAGAAGAGGCATTTTTCTTGTTAAATTACACGAAAAACTGATGTGATTTAGATTTAGACAGATTACATCGATATTACTAACATAATAAGGTTCCAACGGATGAGTATACGCATCGATGATACCTTTTCATCTCGGCGTAATGTATATGCTGGTGTTTCACAGAGATGGTAGCCTAGCTTAGCCTTGATTTCTTACCCTAAATAGTGTTTGATAGAAATATTATTCCTTACACTGATTTTATGAAGACTAAAGAACTTGCCGATTCACATAGACAAAAATCTGTTCTGGGGACTTCTTATTAGTAAAGAGATTAATAGTAAAGTTTGTAGCTTCCGTATCTGCAGTCTCCTTGCGAAATTGTACAACTTTCTTCACACTGACACCAAGACAGATTGCAGTCTTTTCATTTCCGAATTTTCGTTTGCGGGCGTCAGCTATCTTGATCTCACCGAGGCCAAGTTAATTGTGCGAATTCAAGATCAAATCAAATCGCCTCATTATGTCACGGCGTTTGGCCAGTCCACATGTAGAGGCCAGTGGGGAAATGATAACAACAATACGGCGTCAAAACACGTCGAATGTGACATTTTTATAACAAAATAATGAGCATAATAAAGCTACTAGGTTTTTTATGAATTTTAATATATTTATAATATATAATATTATACACCTTAGGGCTTTGGGTAATCTCTTTATATAAAAATCAATTGTTGTCCGCTAGTCTCGCTAAAACTCGTAAACTGGCTCGAACGGTTATGATCAAAAATTTTGTGTGGGTTTGAGTGGGCCCTGGATGGTTTAGATTCACATTTGGACAAGGTAGGTGGAGCTGTTGTCGAGATCCAGAAATCACCCGTGCGAAGCCGCAGCTGATCGCTAGTAAATAGCGTAGGTGATGATATCTGGGTTCTACGATAGGGCCACCTACCGGGTCTAACTATGCCTATAACCTTCGCGGAAGTGCAAGTAATATATAATATTATTTATTATTTTTATTAAGTAAACACGAGGCTAGGACTGAAATTATCGTACTCAGATTATTATAGATTATAGTCATTTATGTGTTATATTAAAATTTGTATATTAAGTTAAATAAAAATGCATAAAATTAATGTTCCTAAAACAAGAGTAGACACGAATCGAATGCTAGTGAGTATACACGTCCATACCGTTGCGTGCAATAAATACTTTGTAGCGGCGCTGTCGTCGCGCCACAATCGAAATACACGGAAGTCTAAATCACGCTATCAACATTCCGAATCAGAAACAGTATATATAGAACATCTCCGAACTATCACACGGAGTGTCGGCCGCTCCCCGGGCAGAACACCTTGCCCGGCGGGAGATCTCCCCTTTTCCTTCATCGGCCACAGTGGTGACCCTGACGTGATCTGAACACGCAACCAAACAACCTTCGGAAACTTCAAGCTTCATCATCGTCATAGAATACCCCACCCATTCGCTCCCGAGCAGATATCGTCTGCAGTCTTCATATCCTGCAAGCCATCTAGCTTCACAAGGTTCATCGCAGCATTGGAATAATAATGCTTCCTGTTCCTTCAAGCTACTCTCTGCGCTATACAGTGTTCGGCACGGCTCTGAGCCTTACTGCTCGCCTCTGCTTCACGGCACTCTCGCAGATTACTTGCCTTCTTCTCGACTCACCGCAGACTACAAGGCAATCTCCTGGCACTTGCACATTCGTCGACAACTCGACTGCACTATCGACCTCCGGTCTGAGCAGGGGGGTGATGTAGCGGCGCTGTCGTCGCGCCACAATCGAAATACACGGAAGTCTAAATCACGCTATCAACATTCCGAATCAGAAACAGTATATATAGAACATCTCCGAACTATCACACGGAGTGTCGGCCGCTCCCCGGGCAGAACACCTTGTCCGGCGGGAGATCTCCCCTTTTCCTACCACGGCCACAACTTAATACCCATTACATGGCGAGTTACCACTAGCGCCAACTAGTATCGAGTAGCAGAACTAGGAGAGTCAAGATCTTTCTAGAAAATACCATACTAGACCTTTCTACACCTAGTCAGGCGGGACCGTTATGTATTCGAACATTCTAGGTGTTTCGGTAGAAGAGACCTACACAGTACCACTATTCCAGGAAAGACACACCATCGACAATAATACGACACGTTTTTCGCCTCTACACGAGGCATCTTCAGGTGATGTAGACTCTACAGCGGCTGACCGCTAAGATTAATATTATAAGACTTAGCGGTCAGCCCCCGTAGAGTCTACATCATCTGAAGATGCCTCGTGTAGACGCGAAACACGTGTCGCATAATCGTCGACGGTGTGTATGTGTAGTTTCTAGAATAGTGGTGTTGGGAGTGGTGGTGCTGGGATTGGTAGTGACGGTATTATTGCACGCAATTAGTAAGGGAGGGTGAGAGGTACTCTTAAAACTAGGTAGGACACATCATTTTATATAATTGAGCGGAATCTTGCAAAGTAACTATTAATATCTTTATTAGTGAATTATGTAGGCCAAAACACGATTGACACGTTTAGGCTCGATTAAAAAAAAGATCGCAAAATTTCCTCAAAATCTACAATTTTTAGTACGTCCACTAAATGAAAAAGCTGTTTAATTCGAATGTAATGAAATCAATTTCAATTAAATTCAGGCTATGTGTTCACTACGTAAGTGAATTATGGGTTTATTTTTCAATAAAAGAGTATATATAATTTTAAAAATAAATGTGCGATTAAATAGCGCGCGGGCCGACCAAACAGTCGCCAGTCGCACCTATAAAGCGTTAAAATCTGCTTTTGGCGCCCACTTCACCTTAAAACGTGTTCGAAGACATAATTTTTTATATGAATGAAGAAGAATTGGCTGTCAAGGGGCAAGACCGGACATACATTTGAAACCACTTCTACTTCTTGGAGAACAAAGTTCAGGAAAAAAAATATTTTTAAATAAAATGTAACAGTAAGAACTGATGAAATGCCCTGGGGAAACACAGGCGTAGAGGAATATGTAAGTATTTTAGCAAAGCGGAATTATGGCGAAACAGGTGGTGATTTTGACGTTCCGAAGATTAATTCTAAATAAGTTTTGGTATTATCTGTTGTTGAAAGCCATTGAGTTAATGAATACTTAACTCATCGAATATTTCATCGAGATCACTCGAAATATTTCAGTAAAAAGTAAGTTAGCACTTAACAGCAAATTAACATTAATTCAAATTTTAGAGGTCATTCATAACCGTATTGCTACGAAATGCGAAGAATTATAAATGTTTTTAATGTGTATTTAAAAGTAATAAAATGATCCTAAGAATTAAGCTCAATTAGGTACAATAAGGTACAACAGATTTGATAGTGATACTGAGCCCCAATTGTCACTTGTGCAATCTTCGAAAGAAATGAAAGTTTGACAACCACTGCCATATTTGTAACGGGTGAAGATCGGATAAAATTCATCCGATCTTCACTCGCGGGGAAACATCGGATCTCGGCCTACAGCGATTTTAGCCCTGTTTGGAATAGTTTTCATAAAACTTAGTATTCAGACAAAATAATATCAAAAGAAACAATATTCTCGCCAAAAAATGCAAATGAAAGTGATAGGAAAAGATCGGATGGAAAAAAAATACTAAAATTATCTTGTTTTATGAAATGCCCCGCAACACACGCCCTACTTCCCGGAGCGACTGACTGGAATTTGGGGTCGAGGCAGAATAAAATGGCGTAGTATTATTGCTAGCATTTAAAAATATAGCATAATTCGCCGGAAATTAGTATCTTACAGTCTTGCCCCATCACCGATTCTTACCCCAACACACCTTAATTTGTTCAAAAAACATCTCACAATAACATTATGTTGATCACATTGCGGAGCTTTTGGGAGTTTTCGACATCGACAGCTTATGCCACTAGACAGTCGATGATCGGTGATGGCAGTAATCATGGGCAATAATATAGACGTATAAAAAAAGTTTTTTTTTACGTCCATGGGCAGTAATAGGTATCTTAAGTTCTTACTTCTCAAAGCGCCTAAGCGGACAATGTACCTAACTTGGTATAAATTAAACATCGGAACATTTGCTTCATCGTTCTCACTTCGTTCACAAGCGCAGACATTTAAATAGAAATCTAAATAAAAATCGCATGACTTTTATACGTATCACAATCCACAATCCACTTTAAGCCATCATTTAAACAATAAAATAAGAGGAACTTACCGCGGACTGTCAAGTTCCCGCCTAAACTTCGACCATAGATTACTGCCTATATACTAGAGATAGATGAGCAACTCAAGTTTTATTTACGTTAAGTTCCGTGCCCAACCGTCAGGTGGCGTAAAATTAAGAGTGCTTTGGGCCCGCCCTTTATTTGCACTTTACAATTTTATATGTTCAGAACCATTAATTACATTGCACAAGTGCTGCAATGTAATTAATGGTTCTTTATATTTCTTGTGCTAATTGCTAGTTCCTATTAATAAAATAAAAACCGGATATATTTAAAATGTTTATTGTTTAAAAATTTCTTGCCTAAATTAATAACATTAGATGTGTTAAATTTAACAATATTTGCACAATATCAATTGATTTCTTTAAACACATTCTTTTTAACTGGTTAGTTAAGTTAGGAAATATATTATGTTACAGAGAATACAATACAATAGAATTATTATTATTAAATATAGATTATTACACAATACTTATTGAAAGTCATGTTTTATTTACTACATATACCTCTGTCCTGGGAAGAACCAACAAGAAACCCAGCGGGACGTTTTTTTAAAACATATTTCACTTTACAATCATTTTGTTTATACATTTTTTAAATAAATTTTAATAGTACAGGCATGGTGGCGATCACCTCAATCACAGGGGTTATTATTGATGTATTTTTTGATATTATAATAACACTTTTTGTACATTTTTCCTTAAATAAAACATTTCAACTTATTTATTGACAAATTTTGTACATTTTCTGAAATTTTGTTTTAAAAGCGTATATGTTGCCCCATAAAAGCACTACTGACTCAGTGGAGTCTAGTAACTGGTGTT